TTTTCGTTTGGATGTCCCTGTTTTTTCGTCACGGCTCTGCACTTGCGTGGGATTCTATATTTTCGGGGATGTTGAAAAATGGTTTCTGGGATCGTCCGGTAATGAAACGCGTCACGGTTTCTAAGGAACAAGTTCCTTTGTCGTTTTCTGGGGAACGATGGGAAAGTTGTGAAACATGGCTCTTCGTTTCGTTTTCTGTTTGAGTATTGGGGGATCAAACTATTTCATAAAAATACCAGGTGTTAAATCGATTGAAGATTACAATCAAGAATTGAAGTTCCATAGATTACTACTGCATGTGAGAAACAATGATACGCATACTACTCTGCGTTCAGAGGTGAATATGTATAATAGTAAACTCAATAACTTAATAGTATTCTCGTTAAAAATATAAATTATACAAAATAAACCTACGAATAATAGTATAAGATAACAATTGTTTCCAAAATTTCATTATCCCAGGAAAATCAGCGTCTCTCGTAAAAGATATTATTGTTCAACATAGGTAATATAATTTAAGTATACAAACACATTAACCCTTAACACTCCAGATGGTTTTGTAATGTATCAGCAATTGCAACTAATTTTCATGGTATCTTTAGTGAAAATGAAAAATGCTATAACATACCTTCGATCTTCTAATAAAAATCTAATAATTGATAATAGAAAATCTAACGATATTAGGGTAGTTTCTTTATATGTTTCTGAATATTATAACTGGAATATTCGAGCCTGCAGAGTTCAAAGGGTTAACGCGTTGCCGGCCAGTGAACATTTTTAGCTTACAATTATCAAGCATCGATCAGTCTAAAATTCCCCAAAAGTACAAAGAATCTCTCAAATTTTCCCCATTACAAAAACAATCGAGACGTTCCCTTCGTATCGCGAACAGTTCGAAAATTACTGGCCACGGTATTATTCTTCGCGCAGTGGATCTTCTTTCGGGGATTTACCGTGCGCATTTGTCGTCGAATCGAGCGGTACGTATTCAGGTAATTTAAGGCGGTACTCCGCGCTATTATTGCAAATTAATACAACCGGTACATTGTCGCCTAACGCGGGTTGCAGTTGCGAAGCCTGTGTCAATAGAATTCCACCCGGGCCGGGTCGTACTTCAGGATTCTATAGCGGCGTTGTCCGGAGTGTAAATCGATATCTGGAGCGGTCCTTCGAATGATATGGTTTCACGAGATTAGTCAGCGGTCCGTAGGAATCGAATGTAAATCCCGCATACATTTGCAACCTATATAGGCGACCTTTTCATTGGCGCGCGCTCGAATCGGCTGGTCACCTTCCTGCCGCGTTCAATTTACTTTTCGGGTCCTTTAATGCCGCCGCCCGTATTTGCCGTGAGAGCCATACGTTGTCTTTAGCCCGCGCCGTTAATAGCTACTTTCGTGCCGCGCGAAGTTATCACCTTTTTAGAACACCCCGCTATTACACTAAATCGAGCCACGAAATTCTGCGCAGGCTTAATTCCTCGAGAATCACTGACCTCGAGATTTCTATCTCGCGAGCGAGATATTTCGGAAAATTGAACATTTATCCACGATCGAATTTTTATTCCAAAATTTCCAATTAAATCGTCGAACAGGAACGTTCACGTGTATGGATCACGCGAAAAGATTATTTTCTGGAAATAGTCTAACGTCGTTTGGAGAAAATTGGCTAAGTGAGCTAATAATATATAATAATAATAATAAGCTGAAGGTAGGATGAATAATCTAGAGTATATTGTTTTTTTGTCCAGTGTATTATTTTCGATGGGCATTCTATTTTCCTAGGTTTAATACTAGAACTACCGAGCATTTAATACGATTAATATGGAATTCCCATAGAAATTGTAACAATAGATTATTTTCAGTTTCCTCAGGCATTCATTATAGTACTGAAATGAAACTATTTTCAAAATCATTTCAAATATTCAATGCTTCGAAGATATCAATAATAGCGAAACAGAAAAACTGAAACCAGTCATTTCGACTGCTAAGTGGTTCTAGTGTTAGAAAACATTCGGAGAACATAGCACAGTTAGAGACTGAAATAGTGAAATATTTAGAATGCATCATATTTCCTTTAACACTAGACCCACCGAGCATTTAACACGATTAATATGCAATTCCCATAGAAATTGTAATAGATTATTTTCAGTTTCTTCAGGCATTCATTATAGTACTGAAATGAAACTATTTTCAAAATCATTTCGAATATTCAATGCTTCGAAAATATCAATAATTGCTAAACAAACAAATCGAAACCATTCATTTCGACTGTTACGGTAGTTCCAGTGTTAAGCGAATTCACATGAAAGTGTTTTAGGTTAGGAAAAGTGGAAAAGTTATTCGAACAGCCGATTTTAAAGGCTTCACCCCGTATATCGGAATCACTTTGACGGTTCGAGCATTGCTTTCCGCAGGATTTCTTCCCGGAGGAGTTCTATGTAGATGCGAACGATGACTGGTGAAACGGGCGAAACCCGTACTAAAGTCTGATCCTAGCTGGCAACAGTCGCCTCGGAACAGATAGCAGGTTGGTATAAAGCACCGGCATACAAACTGCGCCCGTTGTTTTGCCACCGATTACTTCTATTTTATCTTTGATTGATACGTTCGCGAACAGAAACTGCACGTCGAAGTTTGCCGGCGTACAACCCAGATGTTACACAGATGATTTTTTTTCCAACCCGGCATGATGAAGCGGTTGTCTAGGGATCTCCTTAAATAGACGACTACCGTGAGCCGGGCATCAGTATAAGTTCTTCCGGGGAGCTCTGATAAAGCTAATTGCGATACCGGGGGAAACCCTTTTCAAAGCACGCCGCTTCGTTCGAACTTCCAACGAACGAAATTTCTAACGGTTGGAGCATTAACATCTTGAAAATTCGATTCTCGCGATATTAACGTCGATGAGAACACGTCATTTAGAGAACTATTAACACTATTCCTACCGTGACCACTCAAATGACTGGTCTTTAGCACAACTTATATTTTTTAATATAGAATGAAGTTAATAAATAATAAAAAAAGGTGTGAATATTTGAAAATGTTTTATATTTTAGGGGAAGTCGTGAAGTATAAAGACGATTCAATTACGTTGTCTATAGGAAATTCTAATCGAAATTTTAAAAACAGTCATTTGATTGGTCGCGGTAAGAAACCTTCAACATATGAAGCTAAATTACGTATCAATTGCTTAATTAATAGAAAAAGGGAAACTACGTCCTGAATTCTTGCTGTTCGACTAATAACAACATTTTTTCGTGAGTTAAACTATGCCGATTTCCCGAATGATTTTTAGTTTCTCTGTTAGTTAAGCTGAGTTAAGAACGACACGTTGCAAGTTAATAGATTCACCAGTTATTCTTATCAAGCCCCCTTCTATCGAGTAGCGTCATCTGTTATCAGTGTCAATGTTTGCGACGAAAAACTGTTCGCGGAAGGAAAAACTGCAGATTGAAGCAACTTAGGAAAGATTCCGCTAACTCGCGATAAGAACCTTATCGCCTTAATTAATCCCACAAAGTGACGACGCGACCCAAGATCATTTTTATTCAATCCTTCTCGTTAGAGTCTCTGAACTTCCACGAACATAAGGATTTCTCGTCAAGTCGACATTATACTCCGAACAGTGCTATCTTATAAATATCTCCGAACACGCGAAGGGCAGTGACACAAGACTGTCAATGTCGTCTTCGTTAACACTAGAACTACCGTACCAGTCAAAATCACTGGTTTCAATTTTTTAGCAATTATTGATATCTTCGAAGCACTGAATATTCGAAATGATCTTAAAAATAAATAGCTTCATTTGAGTACTACAATGAATGAAGAAACTGAAAATAATCTATTGTCACAATTTCTATGGGAATTGTATATTTATCGTATTAAATGCTCGGTAGTTCTAGTGTTTAAGGAAATTTGATGCTTTCTAAATATTTCACTATTTCAATCCCTAACTATCCTATGTTCTCCGAATGTTTTCTAATACTAGAACTACGTAGCAGTCAAAATGACTGGTTCCAATTTTTTTGTTCAGCAATTATTGATATCTTCGAAGCACTGAATATTCGAAATGATCTTGAAAATTAATAGCTTCATTTGACTACTATAATGAATGTCTGAAGGAACTGAAAATAATCTATTGTCACAATTTCTATGGGAATTGCATATTAATCGTATTAAATGGTAGTTCTAGTGTTAAGCTTCAAATCGTTTTCCCTTCCGCTGCAAGACAAAACGACAATAACAAAAACCATACTAATAAATGACTACAAATACGAATTGATTATCTCAACAATCAATACACAAGATCCATATCGCACGATCAGGTTTCCACGAACTCTACCCTCTTATTCGCGATACTTTATCAGCTAATTCGAACACGTAACCGGACAAAGTAGTGCGCCGATGTACCGGTGAATTAAATATAGGCTCGATCCTAATCGCACAAACCGTCGGCGCTGTGGGCGAATAATTTTCTACGTTGACAGCGACATAAATATTTCGTGCGGTTCCATTAACCGGCAATAATGAAACAATTAATCGGTTCGGATACTTTCCAACGGAAACGTACGACCGTAGACTCTCGGTACTAGCCGCGGTACTAGGACTCCTAGTCACCGGTAAAAATTTCGTTCGTTCCGACAACTGCTTAATACGTTATAGACGAGCCATTAAATTTCCATAAAACAGGTCTCCCTGTTATTACCGACGGGGGTGGCCTGGAACATATGGTTCCCGGCGCATGTACCTATGAATGGCCGTTGCTTATTCGGCTTTCGTTTTGTTGTCTCGGGGCGCCCTTAAGTATATTAGTATTACGCATGACTAATGGGAATAATGAAGGACGCGATTACCGGTAATGCCGTACATTACTTTCTGTCTGTGCGCGAGGAACGGGACGCGAGCGCGCGCGTTCCGCGTTCGCCACGGCTGGAATAAAACGCGCGCTGATAGGTTAAACGTTTCTATTTGCTCGACGTCGCTTGCTTGCTTACTTACACGCTTTGCTACGCAGGTCCCAAATTTTTAGGGTACGGTCGTAACTGCCTGTAACTACTTTTGAAGGCTCGCCAAGAAACTTCGCCGCCATCACCTTCCCGCAGTGGCCCGTTAGAGTGTGCTGAAGCAGAAACGGGAATGTCGTTTTAGAACATTTACCAACACGTTTTGCGTGATAATAGGATATTCGGTAACATACGTGACGTGTTAAAAAGGATTTACCAGTGATATTTGCCGGCCGAATTGCATTGCCAAGCGCATATTCGATGTTGCGGGATATTCCACGGATAGGAAGCGTCGTTAAACATTCCCCGGTAGGCTGAATTTCATTCTTACCGATCACGCGAGGAGACAAGCGAATTTTTGTTCCGGGCAACGCCGCTGTGGGAATGTTTCGACGATATTTATCGGTTTTTTATACGCAGAGTGCTGTTCGACGGTGAAATTCTATGTAAAAGCGATACGCGTGGTACGCATTAAGGAAATAATGTTCATTCCATAATAATGGCAGTGAATAATTTAATACAGTGACCGGAATATGTTATGTTAATGTCGATGATACGTGTGTAGACGAAATAAATGACATGATTATAATGCATGTAATTCCAGTATTAACCTTAATCGTAGGAGGTCCGTAGTAATTAATATCTGTAAATATAATGCTTCAATCTTCGATGATGTTTTACGGGAGGATACAGTACAACCACGTTACATTACGTGCACCGATTATCCGGACGTCAATACATTTTACATATTAATTATTCCGCACTGGATCCCATTGTGATTGTATCCCATTGTTTCGCGTCATATAAAATTACAGGAAAATTCGTTGGTCGATTAACGCTTACACTTCCGTTAAAATTGTATTCCGATCGATGGGTGACTCGCGCTTCTATGAACGTTCGCGAACTGTGCATCGTCGATGGGTCATTCCTCGCCATACGGAATTATTGTAAAACCATATTGTAGTGTCTAGAATTTTTAGCGTAGGTTAAGGTATTTTTAAGAAGAGCGAATGTAAGAACGAGTGCGAGCGAAGGACAGGCTGTAAAACGGTCGAGGGAAAGTGGCCTGCGCAACGTCGCGGACCCAAGACTGCAGGGCCAGCTTTCCAGGGGTGCATCCCAGTGTTTCTGATGACTGCGAGTGAGAAGAATGCTTGTGGGGGAGAGAATGATTTTTGGGAGAGAATGTGAGAGAGTTGCGGGAGAGTCGTGTGTTGGCCTACGTGGCATTGAGTTGTACTTTTTACGTGTTGTCCGTGTTGTTTCCATATTTTATTAAATACATATATTTATTCCTAGTTCTCGATTACTCAAGATCCATCTTTCCATTACCTATAATATGGTAACACTATACTACGATCACGGATTATTGGGTAAAAATATGAAACAGCGTACGCTTTTGAACGCTGAAAAATGAAAATGGCAGTAGCGATGAAGTTAGCCCGCACATGGCCTGTCCTTTCCTCGCTGCCATTTAATGGTAAAGAATTCAGGCGTGACGTCGACGAGAGGGGCACAAACAACTCGAGGGGTTCTCTCCTGTAAAGGGGACGCCATGAAAAAGAAGACTTCGCCAATTTTAAAGTACACGGTCGTCGGGGGCTCTTGAAAAATGTCCTAATGTAAATTAATGGCCCGGAAGTTTAGCCAGAAAGGGTCTAACGTGAAAGAAACACAGGTAACGCAGTGGCCACCTACGTTATACGATCCAACCAGGAACTTTTTCTACGAGGAAGTACAAAGGAGAAAAGTGAACCGAACTATACGATAATCTGGCGTCTCCGGAAGTTGGTCGAAAGCGTTGAGGCGAGTCTGCGGTTCCTACCAGAAACATTAACACTAGAACCACCGAGCGTTTGGTACGATTGCAATGTAATCGCTATGAATATCGTACTGATAGATTATTTTTGGTTTCTCTAGACATTCATTATACTACTCGAATGAAACTATTTATTTTCAAAGTCATTTCGAATATTCAATGCTTCGTAGATATCAATAATTGCTAAAAAATCGAAACCAGTCATTTTGACTGGTATGATAGTTCTAGTGTTAAGTTTACAAAAAGCTGACACAACACAATGGAGAACGCATTAACGAAGGAAAAAATTGAGAAAAATAGTAAACCCATTAGTTGAAACCTATTTATGACTTTTTCCATACTTTCCCGAAACTTTTGCAGCAAGCCATGTATTGCCAGTAACAAAGGTTCATTGAAATTGTCGAGTCGATGCAGCATTTTATTGGTTGATTATCCCTTTTTCACGTGATCAATATAAATTAATTGATACGAGAATTAAAACTTTGCCTACGCAGAAGAACACTGAACGGTTTTTACTATGCGCTCAAATATCCCACTCGACTGGGTATGAGGTTGAATTTTTTAATAACAAGTGGTGAAACGATCGGGTCATCGGCATTGCATCAATTTCACAGTATTGTGGGGATTACCAGCAAGTTAGCGATATCGAATACCACGAATTTATAAGAGGAAGATTAAATAACGTTTTATGTTGCGGAAACTTTCAGTAACAGACGTTAATTTCAATTTAAATTATATTTTCATAAAATATCTTTTATGGTATTCAGTTACTACGTGCACGCCGGGATTTTTTATGGCGCGCGCGCGTTGTCGCGCTCAGGTTTTGTAATTTCGAGGACTACATCTAGCATTTAACCGCGCCAGCTTTTAAAGTATTATAGCGGGCACTCGGGAAAGGTAAGAAGGATCGCTCATGCACCTTTCTCGGAAGGTGTAACCCAAGATTCAAAATATGCGGCTGATATCATCACTTTTACGAGGAGCCGGCGCAAGGTTCATTGCGGGATGCGTGCCAGATGCGTACCCAGAATAAAGGCAATAAACTCCTCCGTAAAGATCAATCGAGAGTGAAGTGGCAGCGAAATCCGAACCGGACAGAGAGATACAGAAGCAGCTGGGAGAATAGGTTGTGATCCTCCCGGGGCTGTACAAAGGTTCAATTAAAGTCGATAAAAGCACCGAAGAAGAAACTGGTAACCTTCCTGGAAGCAACTAGCGACCACGGTTTTACAACCCGTGCGTTCGTTTCGTGTTTAAGGCGTGTAAGAGCGATGAGCGCCAGCGTTTCGCCGGCGAATACGCAGCCACACCTGTTCTTAGACCAGGAAACGAAGACAATACTTTATATTAAATGAACTGTGAACGTTCGTATAAACGTCCGCTTGTTTCTAGTAATTTTCATAACTGGAATTAAACGTAGAACTATAGATAGAATTAAACGTGAATTCACCTTTTCCGTTAAGGATTCCATCGAATCGGATATTCAATGTTTCGTTGATATTATTCCGGTTAGAAATCTGATTATATAGCACTTGCTCGAATTGTCACTTTATAATATTCAAATTTGTATAGATGTAAACGTTCAGTCGTATTTTTTCCATTAAGGATTCCATCAAATCGGATATTCAATGTTTCGTTAACCCTTTGCACTCGAAAAATTTGTCACTAGAAATATTCAATCTATTTCTATGAGATATAGATGACATTTTTTAAAATTAACTTAACGAGGAATCTATTCACAAAATAAGGAGAACAATGGTATTTGACTTCCACATTTCACGTAGCGACAGATTACTCAAGAGTTAATGTTAAATATGAAATTTCACAATTTTAGAAATCTGATTATATAGTACTTGCTCGAATCGTCACTTTATAATATTGGAATTTGTATAAATGTAAACATTCATTTGAATGATTTAGAAACAAATGATACATGTTTAATAATCAAACGATCGTTTCTAGTAACAAAATATTGATAACTATTATAAATTTAATTCGCTTATAATTAAATTTCACGGTGTGCTTTGCATGGCAGTGTCACAAACGAAGGATAGAGGAGTACCGAAAATATAGCGGCGGTTATAATGTAAACCTGTATCTTTGAAATAGGATCGTACATTGTTACTGTTGCTTTTGTATCGCACTTCGCCGGGCACTGATAATAATTCTGTTATTTCGCAGAGATACGCGCGAATACTGAAGGCAAACATCAAGTTCAATCACCGTTTTCAACTATGAAGAAACAACAGGATAGACCAACACCGCTGTGTTTGTGTATGTTTAGTTCGTTGCTCGATATTATGTTCCGAAGATAACCAAATTATGAACTGTTAACGCGTGCGTCACTGTTATAAATTATCAAACAAATGAGCGTGTCTACGAGAAAACTGATGATCGTAAAGAAACTGGGAATAACAGCGAACTAACATTGAATTTTGTATTCGACGATTACACGCGCGCTACGCGGTTCAAGCTGAAAACGAATCAGTCTGGAATGTACAATGATAATACGATTAACACATTGAACGCCGGGTAATTTCAGATACTAAAAACGCGAGCGTCGGTGATTATACTGATACATTTTTAATCCTTTATACAGTAAAACTATAAAATTTAATATTTAACACTAGAACTACCGTAAGAGTCAAAACGACTGGTTTCGATTGTTTTGTTTCACAATTATTGATATTATAAAATGAATGATTGAAGAAACCGAAAATATAATTATAATACTTGACGATAGAACAATATTTAACCCTTAGCACTCCAGGTTGTTTTGTAACCTATCAGAAACTGAAACTAACTTTATTTAGAAAAATAAAAAAAATAATATATCTACGTTCATTCTAAATCCATAATAATAATACTTGACGATAGAACAATATTTAACCCTTAGCACTCCAGGTTCTTTTGCAACCTATCAGCAACTGCAACTAGTTTTTATAGTACTCCTAGCGAAAATGAGAAATGCTATAACATTCCTTCGATCTTTTATTTTCCTTAGTACAAAATTTGGATGTGGAAAATCGAATAATTTTAGGGTAGTTTCTTCAAGATTCATTGAAATATTTATATTATACAGAGTTCAAAGGGTTAAACATCGATCAAACGAAAATTTCTAACTTACGGAAGAGAATAAGGAATTCGATTTTGTAAATTTTACTTTGGATTCGTGTTACACATATCTAAAATGTTCCATGAATAGGATTAGCAATTAAAAGATAGACTAAAAATCCCGCATTATCGCGGGGCCGGCAATGTGTTACAATTCGTCTAGAGCGATCGAGGAAAATAATATTCTCCGCACGAAAACTCCAGCTGCTCGCGATACGCCGGCTCCGGGGCGAAACCGTACGGGAAGAGCACAAAAATTCAGTTCCGGAGTTCGCAAGGTTGGATCAAATGA